TAGAATAGAATAGAATAGAATAGAATAGAATAGAATAGAATAGAATAGAATAGAATCTTTATTGGCCAAGTGTGATAATATACACAAGGAATTTGTCTTGGTGCATAAGTTCTCAGTGTACACAAAAGAAAAGATACATTCATCAAGAGTCAAGAATCATAAAGTACAACACTTAATAATAGTCATAGGGTACAATAAGCAATCAAATCATACTAGGAAATAGTCAATAAAAACCATTAGGATACAAGCAATAAAGTTACAGTCATACAGTCATTAGTGGGAGGAGATGGGTGAAAGGAAGGTTGGGAGGATTAATAGTAATAGAAATGCAGACTTAGTAAATAGTTGGACAGTGTTGAGGGAATTATTGTTTAGCAGAGTGATGGCATTCAGGAAAAAACTGTTCTTGTGCCTAGTGATTCTGGTGTGCAGAACTATAGGTGTAAAACAATTTAAAAAAGAAACTCAGCTTGAAAGAATTACCTCGTGGGACCTAAAATAGGGAAACACATTGTCCCACACAGGGGACAATGCATTGCAATCAAGGGACAGAATTGTGTATCTTTGTCTCAGAGTCTTCCCATCTTTGGGCATACAACATTCTTGCTGCAGTTAACCATGAGCAAAACAACCCTCCGGTACGTCTTTCCTGGTTCGTTTATCAAAGCCATCGTGCCTGTTCTTTGCCACTATGCCATTTGCAGCAAGCAATGTGCCATGGTTGCTGCAGAAAAGCAACACTGCCATTCACATGATCTCTGTTTATATTGTGAGATGTCAAGGAGTTCTGCACAAGGCTGCCTGCTGAGGTTCTTACGGTGAGTCAATAGCTAAGTGCTGCACACATTTACAGGAGAGCAGTTGCCTTAAATGCTCCCAAGTTTGGTTTATGAGGAAGGGATTCAGCCCTTCAGGGATTTTAGACAGGAAGGCATTTGGTGATTACACAGAGCTCTTTCAGATGATGTTCAGGTCAGCATTTGATCTTTCCTATTAACCTTTGCAGTCAAGGCTGGTTCAGTTATGCCCCTTCTGACCCTGACAGATTCTGAGCTAGTAACAGTTTTTGGAAAATCTACAGCTGCATGCATGCAGTATGGTTTGCCTGCTCAGCCAGTTGAGGTACAGTGGCCTAGAGGTGGAGCTCTTGCTTCACAATCAGGAGGCTGTGAGTTCGATCCTAGGTTGAGGCAGATATTTCTCTCTCTGGGTACACTGAGAATATATCTGCTGAACAAAACTCTGCATTGGCAACAGGAAGAGCATCTGGCCAGTAAGCACTCTGCTAGCTCCATTCAGTTGCCCAGACTCCACCCCACAAGGATTATGGGGTCATTAAATGAAGATCATGATTGTCACTGTTGTTAGTTGAATCACTGCAGTAGTTAAACTAGTAACACAGTTGTTAAGCCATATTGAGACGGGATGCTCCCATGCTGCCACATTTGAGCCTGGGAAAGTGGGAGGGGGGAAATTTATTGGAGTGTATGTAGTTAGATATAATAACATTCTTTTTCTAATTTAAGGTCATGTTATTTCTGCACCTGGTTGAGAGGACATTTCAAGTTGGGACGGATGGTGATTGGGGCATGTGATGTGATGATGGGTGCAGGGGATGGATTTGTAGTTTTTACTTATTGCAAGGAAGCCCAGAACTTTCAGATTCGGGATTCCCCAATTGTGCCAGTTACTATCCAAGTAAACTTTTGAGAAGATGTCTGTCTCGGA